ATGAACAATAAAACTTATCGGTTAAATTTTTTAAAATGATATAATTTTTTTTTGTTTTAGTATTTTGAAGTTGACCAGTTGTTACTATAAGCAATTAATGATTATAGATGATCTGCACTGTACCCCAAGAGGTATAAAAAGACTTGGTTTTAGACCAAGTTAGAATAATCATGTTAAAAAAAAACAATATTTTAATTATTGATCTAATAATTAATACTTCCTAACACATTTGTAATATTATTATCGCTAATAAAACACATAACATATTTTACTCTCAAAATAATAATCTCTAATTAATTAATAAACTACAAAGGGAAACCTTTGCTATACCTAGCAAGTAACCACCATTCTAATTATTGAAAACATCTCAAGGGGACGCCTTTGGGATATAATTATATATATAGAACCTAGGGACCCTTTTATCTGAGGAGATAAAAGTTATTTTATTATTATTAATCTTTGACCGTAAGTCAGCAGGTAGGCTGTGTGTCATATCTATAAATAAAGGAAACTTGACCATAAGTCAGCAGGTAGGCTGTGTGTCAAACAATAAAATCAACCATAAGTCAGCAGGTAGGCTATGTGTTGAGTATTAAATAACCTATTAATTAGGAAACTCGGATTGCACACTCACAATATATTTAACAAAAATTGGTATTTATTTTCATTATTTTCATTAATGATTTAACAAAAGAGACATAGTGTGTAAACAATCAATTAATAAACAATTGTATTCTTATTGCTTGTATAACGTTAATATTAAATTTGTTTTTGTTATAGTTAAAGAAAGAAGCCAGTATAATATACTTTGTATCAAATAATAATAATAATAAATTTTTTTTTATTGATGGGAAAAAAATTTATTTGTCAATAATGATAAATTTTTTTGTGTTATATTAAAGTTTGATATAGAGAGTGCCATTTTATATGTAAATTTGCCATATGATTTTTCAAAAGCAGTTCATTATACAGTGCAAATCATCTATACTCAAAATTATGAAAACCTAAATATCATGTGATCCACTTGTCAGATTTTTAATGATCAACTCAGCTTTAAAAAAGGAATCGATTTATAACATCTAAGGGATAATTTCCGGCGATCTTTTTCTACGACTCAATCAATATTTAATCTCATCACAAAGTTACTTTTTTCTCACTAATGCTGTCGATATTATAATTATTTATTTATTAACACAATGTTTAATCAAAGTGAAAGATCAAAACTTATTGAAAGACCACCTCTAATACAGGTAATGAAGTTTTTTATTATTATGATTGTATAAATATATAGGCGACCGATCATTTAAAAAGAAATAAAAAATTCATGTAATTATTTAATTAATTGAAAAGGAATTATCAGAAGACTTTGAATGGCTCATGAAAAGTATAGCAGGTTTATCAAATGAAGATGTTACCCGAAAATTTTACAATATGGTTAGTACTTTCATCTTTAAGAAAAATAAAATTTTCCTCGCTCACTATTTTTTAAAAGATCTGGTTATTCAATTTTTTTGATTTTTATTTAGGTACCAGAGAATCGTCAAAAAATTATGTCAGGACTGTTATATGGAATTTTAACAGATACAAAAGAGAATCGAGATTTGGTAAAATATTGATATTTTATCTTTTTTGTAAGTTGCATTATGACAAATCATTAATTATTTTTGATGTTGATTCTACATCTTTAGTATTATGAACATATGGTTACTCATGACCGAGATGGTTATGAATATGTTATACAACAATTAATAAAAATTGTTATATATAGAGGTATTGGAGATTATTCATACACAACAGTGGAAAGGGTAAGTAAAGAAAAATTGATTTCTGGTGGTTTATTTATTTTATTAAATATTCCAAAAAAGTTTATAATTATATTGACCAAAACATTGTTATTACTATTATATACAGATATTTTGGTTGATGCAGACATTAATCTCTGCCAATAATTACCCAAACACTCTGCCTAGACTTGATGAGCTGTGTGAGTTATTTTTTCGTCAAATTAGTGGTAAGCAAATAATTAAATAATCAAGTATTTTTTTTTTGATCATCAATTAGTCAAATCAATTTAACAAAAACATTATGATCAGGTGGTGATATATCTGATGAAAATATTTGGCTATGTAGTGTTATGATGGATTTTATAGAGTCAGAACTGTAAATATTATTACTACTTAATAAATAATTATTTATCTCAAAAAAGTTTCAACTAATAAATTTTGATCAATAATAATAGACAATGGATATATCAGTTTGAAAGGCTAATCAATGTTACCTTTTATTCATTAGCAAGTCTAATTCGTGACCTACATTATTCTAATCATGGATTGAAGGATAGGAAAATAAGACTATGCAAGAGGATATGGGATCAAAAAGTAACTAAATAGTAGTATTTATTATTTAATATAATCGTAATAATATTTCTAATTGAATAGCATTTTTTACAAAATAGTATTCATCAATTTTCAAAATTGGCAGAGATCTATATAGATTATTATTGGAACTAGGCAATATACCAGAATTTGGTCTAATCTTATCAGGAATTGATTTCAATGGTATTTATATTTTATATTTACATTTATTTATTTTGATATAAATGAATTAATCTAATCATTTTGTTATAAAGGTATTCTAACTACAATTAGAAAGCAATCATATGATTATTGCATCAAAAGTAGAATTACCTTTGACATGAAATATCGCATGACATATCTATTGGAAAAAGTAAGGAGATTATATATATATTATAATAGTAGATCCTTGGATAATTATATTTGAACTGGTGTGTAAAAAGAGGTATAATAAATTGGCAATTTTTTAAGGAACTGGTATGTATATAACGGGTATGATCAGTAAATTTTAAAATGTACATTAGAAATCACATCCTAAAATGGATATAATGATACCCTCTTTAGTAAGATTTTTTTTGTACAAATGGTCATTTTTTATATGTTCTCTTGCATACCAGTTCAAATATAATTGTCCAAGGTTCTATAATAACAAGAAGCCAATTATATGTTATGGATATTTATTAATATTAATATTTGATGTTCCTAAAACATAGCATACTGTGCAATCATATAACAAAAAATTCAATTTTTTAAGAAACAGTTTTTTCAGAAACACCAATGATCCAAGATTTTTGGTTTCTGATATGATTAGGTGGTTGTGTACTACATATCGTCCCCCAATATCATCATCAGCAGACCAAAGACATATTTTAATCTATGCTCTAATGAATGAAGTGGTATGTTATGTTAAGGAATTATACATGTCATTAATTATTTGGTTTGATTGCTTTTATATACTTTAAATATATAATATTAGACCAGTTGGGAAGGAAAAGAGTTGACGAGAAGAGCTCTATTTTATGACTGGCTATGTTTCAACAGGATGTGTACTGATCAAAACACAATAGATGAAGATATAAGAAATATAGGTAAAGGAATAATATTATATTATTAGCATTTATATTCTGGTCAAAGATAATATTTTTTAATTTATTATACCCTTGAATAACTTTTTTGTCAACATACCAAATTTTTTATCAGAACCATCAATTAGATTATTATTTGATTTGATTAAAACTGACATATTAGCATTCAAAGAATTATTTAGTTGGCTAGGTGGTTCTATTTCATTGTTTGTTCCTCAAATTGAAAATGAAATTCGAGAAAATGTAAAAGCTGCAGCATATTGGATAGTGACAAAAAATATACTATGGTAAGAAAATCATTTGCACAATCATTTTTATCATCATCATTATTGTTATGGGGGTTTTTTTTTTATTGGAAAAGAATTAAATTTTCTTCTTTTTTTTTTCACTTCACACACAAAAATAAAATTTTGATAAAATTAGTATAGATGATTTGATAACTATTAGAGGAAAATTAGCAGAAACACATTTCATCAATATTTTTCAGGAACTATGGGGACATTTTTTAAACCCTCCAAAACCAGGAATTACACCATTTTATTCCCCAGCTATTTCATTTTTTCAACAAATCCAAAAAAATAATGCTGATGATGATGAAATTCCCTTATATTATACACCAATTACACCACTTTTTGATGAAGCTAAACAAGAAATCTTGGCTGTTATTAATAAAAATAACAATAACAACAATATACCTCAATCAAATCAAAATGTTTCTACTACAAGAGATAGAAATAATAGTAATGTTCCTGGACAAAAAAATACACAGGAACAAACATCACAACAACAACCACAAGGTTCTTCAAGAAATCCACGATCACAATTACACCAACACACAAAACAAAAATCACAACAATTTGAAAAATTATGGATGTATGGAAAAAATTTACAATTGTTTAAAGAGTTTTGCCAGAATGGAAATTATGGTGAAGCAACTAAACATTTTGTAGAGATTTTGAATAGATATTTAGAGGTAATAAATTGATTTGCACTTTATATGTTATTATATATATTATGTTTTATTATTAATTCTATGTTAATATATTAAAACAAAAGAATGTGGATTTGGGAAATTTGACTTCACCACATTTAATTGAACTTCCTAAAGAAATAGGTCCTATATTACAACAAACAATTAATTTTGATGAATTGAAAAACACATATAACTTGGATGATTTAAATTCAGGATATCTTGATATCAAATTTACAGAGAATAATTTAATTCATCATATGATTAAATGGATGTATAATATATTTTATAATAAAGATGAGCCTAGTAATATGACAAAGATGATGGAAAAGTGTTTTGAATTGTATAGATTATTAATGAATGAAAATGAAGAACTTCAGATTAAAAGTAGAACCAAGTTGCTAGTTTTTAGTTTAAGGTCTGTATGAATGAATGAATGGATTGATTATAAAAATTGCTTTTGATACTTTTTTATTATTCACCTTACTCATATGTTTATATTTACAATAAAGTAAATTAAAATTAGATAAACCAGGATTTATTATGGATGATCTGAAGAAAACTATTGATTTCTATTATAAATATACAACATTTCAAATAGATTGTGAAAAAATTGCAGACAGTGCAGCTGAAATAAAAAATAGATTTTTGAAAGATTTACATGTATGTGTGTACAAGATAATAATAATAATTTTTTTAATATGATTCAACATAAATCATATATTTATATATTGAATTGTTTTTCAAAAACAGTTACTTCGAAACTTAAACAGTAATGTCTTCCATGCAATAGTGCCTGGTTTATTAAAAAGTTGGCCAGAGCATTTTACAGGTGATACTATATTTATATATTTAGTAGTACATGGGGTTAATTCACTTTTTGTAAGTGTACAATTTTTTTTTTATTTCAAAGTTTGAATAGTCATAATGATAAACATATTTATTTGTTGTCAAATTAATTTATATTTTAGGTTTATAAAATGGATAATGATCTTAGACAAAAAAAGTATTTTTTATTCGGGAAAGTAGATTTTGATGACATTTTAGGTAAAGGAAGAAAAACATGTTATTTTTTATTTACTAACACTACCATATATATATATATATAAATATGATAAATATTAAATAAGTGTGTAATTGGTCTTTATTTTGTATATACACACACAACGAATACAGCTGTTTCATTATTTTGGGGCCAATTTGAACAAATGTTCTTATTCAAATTATTACGAGCAGAAATTGGTGACAATGAAAAAGAACTAGAAAATATAATATGTTCATCAATTTATTTAAGAGGTTTAGAACCATTAGGTTTGTTTGTTATATTAATAATGGTAATTTTTTGTTGTTATAACAATAATTTAAGTAAATAGATAAATAATATATTTTTATTAGAGGACCCAGAAACTTTAAGTGAGCTATTATTACTTTTAGAAAGTATCAAACCAACAAAAAGCTTGATTTCATTTCTAATCGCCCTCATTGGTAATTCTAGATCAGATGTTAGTAGGGATGAAAAAATGGATTATGTGATTACAATATTTTTAAGATGGTATAATATTTCATCAACACGTTTTATAGAAACATTGGGATTATTCTTGGATGAGCAAAGTGAAAAGGCAAATAATAACAGTGATGATGGTAAAATATTGTTAAAATTAATTGAAAAGATAATAATAGCTAATAAGAATGAAACAATATATTCAAGTTTGTTAAGAGGTAAAATTATGATGGATGTTTAAATATTATCTATATTGTTTCATGTTCATGTTATTATGTTATTAATTTAATTAATTAATTGAAATTTATATGTTTAATAGATTTATCGCAAATGAGATCAGAAATTAACAAATTATGTGATGCTATACAAATTCCAATTAATCTTGACCCATTAAATATTATCAGCAATGATGATGATGATAAGGAAGATGGTGTTGACACTATGGAAATTGATAATGATGATATACAACAATGGAAAAATGCTAAATCTATTTCCACTTCAATTTCGCCTGCTGCTACTTCTGCTTCTAATACTTCTGCTTCTAATACTGCTAAAACAATAAAAAAACCAAGACGTACAAAACGAAGAATTACAACTGATGAAGAGGATAAAGAGGTTGAGGTGGGAGAAGCAGGATTTTATAATACTTCAGATGATGATAACATTGAAAAAGGAAAAATATAATAAAAACTGTATAATAATACTATTTATTTGTACATTTTATTGAATATGTCATAATGACTGCAATTTACTATAGTATCTGTTAAATTAGTAAATTAGTGAACATTCAATAAAAAATTGCTTTTTAACAATGAAATATGGTCCTATATTTTGTATGACCTTAAATAAAAGTATAGAACTCAAGAACTATCTTATAAAATTTTTTAAACTCCATTAATTGATCTCTAGTTTTTTTATTAAATGTATATATTAATATGGAATAAATTATGTAGATCATATCTAAAGTTGGCAACTCCAATTAATCTCATAACAAAAGTTCCACGCAAAAGGAATTTGCGGGAAATTTTAGTGAAATCAGATGAAGTTCTATGGGAAAATATCTTCAGCACCTTGTAAATACTTTTTATCATAAAAAAACGAGGCATTTATTTTTTACGCTAACTTTTTTTTTCTCAAATAGTAGCAGGTGGAAGAACCCAGCTTTCAGACCGATTTTTGTATATACACAGAGTGAAGGAACATATGTGACTGATGTGGTGGTTCCCCTTCTTTCGGATTACATTGAAAAAATTCCATATATATAAAAATCGGTCAAAAATATGAACGACAAAATTAAGTTACAGAGAGAAATGAATGATGGAATGAGGCGCGGGACTAGATGGAGTAAAATTGGTATTCCAAGTTGCTGGAGAGATGATGCGTCTGAATATATTCATTAAAAATATAAAAGACGTCCAATCGAAATCCCAGTTGAACTGTATGACGAAAAAGATGTATTCACGGGTATTATTTTTATTTGATTTTCTGATTTTCTGATTCGGGTTACAAATGGCAGTTGATTGATTATTTGTTTGGTTATATAGAATATCATGATCGTTAACACTTCTCTGCTGTCAAATGCACCAGTGACTAGACCGAATAACAATAATAACAAAGTTCCAGAGTGATATGTAGAAGATAATGAGCCATCAATATGAGAATCTTTGTATTATTGGTATATATTTTTAGATCAATAAAGCTGACCCTCGAGGTTGAATTTGCTTGACCATAAAAAAATTTACATCCTATTCAAGACATACTTTATGTGATTTAAATATATCGTTGTTTTTATTTGATCGGCATCAAAACAAGGTAATAATCCCGCCTTGTGTTTGAACATTATAAAAACATCACCAATTCGCCTACTCTTGGGTAAAAACAAACAAACTAATCAAGTTGCAAATCCTTCAATAATCATTGTTTAATTTCTTGCTTCACTATAAAACTTACACAAATCAACTTTATAATATGCAGTGTGTTAAGAAAAAAACGACGGTGACAAAAAATTGCATATCTCAACAATCACATAACATAATTAAATAAATTTAGATTCGTTTGAAATTTTATCAAATTACCTTGTTAAATAAAAAAAATAGACATGATCTGCTATTGCCAATTTTCTGTAAAGCTAATTCATATCTTTTTTAAAACTTTGCTAAATTTTTGTCTGAAATTTTAACACGGAATTTTTTAATTCTGACACAAATATATACATAATAATCATACAAAAAAAAAATACCAGCTTGTAATGAAAGTTCTGGAGATTATATATATATATAAACTTTCATACTTCCAAATTTTCTAAATTTTGTCAATTGGAAATAAAAGGAATTTGATTATTTTGAAAAAACAATTCAATTGTAAATTTCTTTCAAAAATTTCATACATTATAATCTAAGACCTCACCATATAATTTTGGCTACTATTTCATTAAAACAATATTTTTATAAACCGCCGTTTTTTTCTTAACACCTGTAAATCAAAAACTGATTAAAATAAAGTCGAGAAAAATCCAAATAAAATAAAAAATTAATTAAACCAAACAAAGTTACTTATGATAAAAGAAATTGAAAACCCATGGAAGGGTTTCGAGCGATTATTTGATAGAAAAACTTGTTGCATCCATGCTTTTCATTTAGTAAAATGACGATGAAGGAAAAAGTGATTTGCCTCCACTTAAAAAAAAATTTCTACCAATGAAAAATGAATCCTAGAAGAAAAACGATAGAAGCAATTCAAGAATCGATAAAGAGAGAATAAAAAATGGATGAAAGAGGATACAATATTAACAATAGTAATATTATTATTAATAATAATAGTAAAAATATAGAATAGATCGAATAGGAATGCCTTCTCATACAATCTACTCTAATGATTTATCTTGTTAATGTTTATTATTTATATATATCAATTAAAATCATTATAAAATTGAATCTAATCTAATGATGTCAGCTTAACTGATAAGTTTTTGCCAAGTTAAATTTCAGTTAAGCTTTTGTCTGATTGGATATAAATATCAAAAATTCGATGTTGAAACGTCGTAGTAATAGTATATATTATTACTTTAATTTACACTATATAAAATTCTTCGAAAAGAATATTTATTTATATAGCCTGATTATATATGTTATTTATCATCGTGATTCTAATTATACATTGATTTCATCATCCATTTCAAACATTTTATCTATTAAATCTTGAGTAGTATTATAATCCATATTTTCCAACCAACTTTGATTTTTTCATTAATGTATTAGCTTGTAATTGAACGTCTCGAGCTTTCGGTCATTTTGATAATAAAAATTATGGAACAAGGGCCTATAATGGAAAGAAATCTATTTTATGAATATCACAAGACTAATTTTGAATTTAGACACAAACTATTAATTAAACTTTATTATACAATTTTGACTTTTTAGCAAACCATTAATTATAACGTTTTACAATTACAACAACTAAAATGCTAAATGACAAAAACATTTATCATTTAAATTCAGTTCAAGTTGACATCATTAGTTGAATCAAAAAATAAAACATCACTTGGTCTTTTTGAATGTCTCCTAAATTGTATACAACATTCGTTATGATCATGTGTATTATTATTTGAATATATATCTCTTTTTACAAAGGATTAATCATTGCCCAAGTAATGATAACACCAAGACCATGCAGAAATGAAATAACATTCTCATCCATATTCCCATCTTCTTTGGATATTATCGCGTTTCCATAAACCTCAGAGCTCGCATAATTTTTTGATGCGTGGGATAAGAGTCTCCATAACCTTGATCACTTTTTTCCTCACATTAGTTTGAAAAGTATCCATTTGGAATTATTACTTACGTAACCAGAGAATGGTCATCAAATTTGAATTTCTTCCAATATATCAAAAATAATACGGAAAAGACACGAACTATTTCATAAAAGACCTCGCCAAATGTGGATTAACTCTTGAGGAAGTAACGGTCAAGGAATAAACCGGAGGCAAATAAGTATACTCCCTCCGGTGTGAATGGGGTTGGTTATTCCAAGAATTTCGAAGCACAGTTGATCCGATAATCTGATTGTCTGGAAATCAAAACTCAATATCGATATCAATCCCAGACTGCATAAATTAGGGTGTGCGCTCTAACCAAATTTGTAAATTATCTGCAAAGATAAATTTCAAAACATCGCAAAAAAATCACATTATTAATATCATTAGTCATGACGACTGAAAATGGACGTTTATCTATATATACTTCCATCCATACTTGAGTCGTTTATCTTAACTAAAATAGTATTAGCAAGTATATATTTTATAGACACCTTCTTACTACATATTAAATATCTAAATATGCCGAAAAAATAATGGATAAATTAATAGCGCTGGTCATTAGTAGACTTGATTAAATTGAAAAACTAATACGCTCTCTACAATCTTACATTTCAAATCTTGATATCTAATTAGCTGATCAAGGGAAAAATAACAAATGGAAGTAGTAATAATAATAACGAAAATGAAGAAGGCATAGATGGAGATAAAAACGTAAAGATACAACAAAAAAACATTCAGTAATTTGAATGAAAATGAACGTGAATTTTTTTGAGAACAAAAAATTAATAACTTGGAAAGTATTGTTAAGAAGGACGAAAAAAAATGATACGTTTGCTTTGAAGACATGTTTTCCATCGAGACTTTTCACTAAAATTTTATTAGTTTTATTGTTCCATATTGTAATAGGTATTCCACGTTGCTTTTTGATGCAAACAAGTTTCAATTAATTTACATAATGGTGATAATAGACTGGATCCATTGATACCAATAAGTTTTGGTATGATCCGTTGTAAATTTGAATAAAATGTTACACCAATGGAACCCTGGTTTACATATAAGGCACGAGACCAAATGCAAAAGATGATAAAGAGATAGCAGATGCTTCAAAATATCCAACAATCTTTTAAAATGACTATCCATCAATCTGAATATGAACAGATTTTTTTTATAGATATCAAGATTGAGGATCACGTCTCTAAAACATACTAAATTAAAATTATGCAAAAAAATTACGCAAGTCCATAAATGTGGACCAATTCTACAAGTAGCAAGAGAAAGAAAGTTGGAAATAATAATCAAAGAGGAATTGTAAATTATTTTGGCACTCGCAAGAGCTTTTGTGTGCAGTGGAATTTCTTTTAGTGTGGTGATAATCCTTTTTTTTACGATCCATTAACAAATCCGCAACATCTACGCCAAGTGAAAGACTTTTTTCAGATGCTAGTAATTTATTAACACGCAAAAGAACACGAACCTGATTTTTTTAAAAACATTATGTTCTTAAAAAAAAGAAATAAATCATAACTTGAACAACTCATCCTCCAAATTAAATAAAATCTTATTAATATTATCCAATAATATTTGCTATTTTGACGGATTAACCTGTTATCAAACTAGACGAAAAAATCCTTAATACCAACAAATTTTAATATTTAATATAATGTAATGTAATAAATATGTAAAACCAATGATTTTGAGAATATATTGTAAGTAGTATAAATCGGTTGTTGAGTAATCACTTCACACATATAATCAGATACACATAATACTAATTAATAGAAGTCGGTTAACAATTTAACTAATAACCAATCGGATGATCCTCGATCAAAGATCATTCTACCTGTGATCATTATCAATAAGCAAGATT